GCCTAAAAAGGGCATACATTTTTAAAAGGGTATAAATCATGTTGCTTTTTCAGTAGCCATTTCTGAAATTTCAAGTCAGATATGGGAAGTGTTTTTCTGCTTCTCCTCCTCTGAACTCATTTAATATGGCTTTCTTTTTTGATCCAGCTCCGTTTAAGAGAGCCCGTCAGAAAAATGTTAATGAACTACAAGCATGTCATAGTTCCTTACATTTTTCTTTGCTTTAAAACTCTAGGAATTGAAACCATTTTTTATGAAGGAAGTTGGCAGTCACTTTGATGACTTCGTGACCAATCTCATTGAAAAATCAGCATCATTAGATAATGGAGGGTGTGCTCTCACAACTTTTTCTGTTCTTGAAGGAGAGAAAAACAACCATAGAACAAAGTAAGTACGTATTTTATTTTCTTTTAATACAAACATCTACTAAGTGTAGCTCAGTGGTCAGAATGTGGACTGAAGTAAAAATTCCTGAGTTCATACTCTGCCACCATTTTTTATTGGCTATATGTTGCATTGGGAAATTCTTTAACCACTTAAAAGGTGAATTTTTTTCATTTTAATGTGTGGATTATAACATACATGCACACTTCTTTCAATCAAGACTGTTGACTAATAAAATAGTAGAGCCAACACTTGCTAAGTGCCCTTTATGGGTTAATTCATTTAAACCAAACAATGACCCTATGAGGCAGATACTATAACTCTCTGCCATGTTACAGATTAGAAAACTAAAGCACAGAACCCTTAAATGTTGCCCAAGATTACAAGCAGGGATTTGAACCCACAATCTGGTTCCAGAGTCCTTGTTTTCAGTCATGTCAGGTTATATGCCTCTCTGTTGTACTCTAATGCTTGTAATAAAGTGCAGTGATCACCATATAGTTTTCTGATTGGTCAGTCATCCAGAGTAAGAGTGAAGACTAGCAAAGGCTAATATGTGCTAACTTGTCATTCTGTGCTTTTCTCAGTTTTGTGCCTTGTGGTCTCTCTGCCAGACTCTCATGTTCTAGAGAACCGTTTTGACCAGTAATAGTTGACAAAAGTGCTGATGGTGCTGCAAAAAGCCCTAAAGGAGATGATAATGCAAGATGTTAAAATTCATGTTTTTAGTAACTGGAGGAAGCCTTTAAGATCAGGAGGTTGTGGCAAGTCCTTTGACATTGGGAGTAGTATGGTAACCATCAGTGCAGTTTCAGAGGATAGACCAATAACAGTATATGACCTGGAGTAAAGTATGGTGGGAGGTCTGTCTTTCACCTCAGGGGATCTCTAAAAGAAGGAAGAATGGTTGCTAAGGTGCCAATCATGGCAATTCCTTTCCATAGGGGCTGGGTATGAGGAACTTTTGCATGCTGCTCCAGTTAGGGGTGTTTAACATCCCTTTCGTCCTTAATAGGTATCCATGCACCTACCTCATAGCGTTGTTTAAATGAATTAACACCCATAAAACCCTTAACACAGTACCTGAATCACAGTGAAAAGGTAGTTAATTAATGTTGAATGGTGTAGTTGGTGATATTCTTTCTCTTCTCTACGGGATTAGATTTCTTATAATACTTAAAGTACTTATATTTTCTTTTAATTTTTTGTTCTTGTCAGAGATCTGAGAGCACCTCCAGAACAAGGGAAGATTTTTACTGCAAGGCGATCTCTCTTAGAGTGAGTATTTTTAGTAGTTTTTGTTAATTTTCAGTTTGAATTTAAGAGCACTATCTTGATAGAATCACTGTGAATATGTAAGGAGTTTGTTCTGAATCCATATAAATCATTAGTTTTACTATTTCTTTTTGTACATTTTCTATCTCTTACTCCTTTCTGATCTTCTGGTTCTGTATCTGGTTTAAAGGAGGAGTTAGGGAACAGTTACCTGTCCTCTGATAAATTCCTTGAAGTTGTGCTGCAAAGAATTGGTTACCCAATACAGCTAGAACAAAAGTTTTCTAATTTGATAAACCAGTTCGAGAGAGTTTTGGAAGTTGCTGCCTTCTTGATACATAAATTGTTTTTCATCTCTTCTTTGGCCAGTTTAGAGACTTGATAGTTTTCTCATTGTCACTTATTTTAAAACCCTGATTGC